GAAATTTTCTTTTATGATGTTACTTCTCATGATAAGAAAAGGGCTTTTAGTTGAAATGCAGCTTTAATTTTCAGCACTAACACATTTTTAATTGGTGTATCAGTATATTTTGTTGTCTTTGATTTTCATTTGATTTTCAGTATTTATTTATTTGTTGTAAATTAATAATCACATCAGTGAAAGACAATTCTCTGAAATATTATATATTGATGGATAACTTTATTGAGGGACTTCCTGGCAAGACCATTTGGCACAGCCAAGATGTGAGAAGTATTTTTACCTTAATTGTGGCAGTTTCTGTTATAACTAGGTGTAAAATGATAAGCAAAGTGGAAGTAACTGAGGCTAGCAGTAACACTAGGGTTGTATCTACTTGGCATATGGTTACATGTTCAAGAGAGTCTGAAAATGGTATTCCAGCAGATAAAAAATGCAAGCTTGGAACTGAAACCCAGAAAAAGAGAAAGACATTAATTTCAATGAATTGGCCAACAAAGCCTTAGAAAAAAGAAATTACAATGTTTTGGTTCATAATTCACTGAAGGCGATGCAAGTTCAGAAAAAGAAGCAGCTGGCTGGAGAAACGTTAGATAACAATCCAATTCAAGATCCAGAGCAAAAATATAGATTTAGCATCCACAACACCGTCTTGGATTGCATGATTAGAAGCATTGAAGACCTTCAAATATGAGAATTAATTTTATGCAGACTTGTCTTGATCCTCAAAATTTTCCTGACTTGAACAAGCATCTTCCACCCCAAGCCTTGGTGAAGCTAAGCAAAGCTTTGGTGCAGTTTTAACCAGATATGTTGCCTGAGATATTGAGAGAGGAGCTGGTAGATTTTTCTGCTAAGTAGCCAAGACTGAAGGGAAGTGTTGTGTGTGAATTTGTGGTGAAAATAGAAGAGGAACCTAACGTGATGGTGATTTTGACTATGATGAAAGTGTCAATGAAACTGAGGAGGGATTATGTTAGAAAGCAAAAAGTGCCAGAATTGTGCTATATGTTGATACGCTGTTATAAAAAAATATATAACTTATATAACAGTTGTTACCCCAACTTAACTGCAGCATATAAATATTTGCTGACTCTGTCGTTAATGCAGGTAGCCAATGAAAGAACCTTTTATAAGCTGAAATATATTTTAATTTGTCTGTGCAGCACCTTAACACAGCACCATATGCAAGCTTTCTTGCTTAAGGCAGTTGAAATAAAATATTAGTGCAGCTGTTAAATAATGAAATAAATGACTGTGTTACAGAAAATGGCAAATATTTATGAGCATTTCTTCATTTATAAAAGCATCAGTTCTTTTGGTTTTCTTTGTACTTACCTATTTTTTTTGTATTAGCACATTGTTTCAATCCAATATTATACATAATTATGAATTTTAAGATACTAGTTAATTTTTTGTTCCAAAAGAATACTCAAGAACCATAATATGTAAATTCTTGTTCCTATTTTGTACTACTTTGAATTAATATAATTTGAAAATAAAATTGTTGGTCATTTTTTTATAAATTTCTGATTTTTAAGCTCTGTATACATTTGTTACTTTATTTTAATTAGGTTTTGAAACCCATTGAATAAATGGACCAGTTCCAAAGCTAAAACATCCACCCCCCCCCCTCCCCCACACACACACACAC